ATACATCTTAATCCCAAATACTTGTAATGGCAAAATAGAAAGCTTATTGCCATATTGAAAATTAGGTGATTCACAATTTACAGTTGTTGCACGCTTTGACTATTACTGGAGACTATGCAGGAGGTGTTGATTTGAGGAATGGTGTATGGACCTTGTATTAAAGCCTTGGCAATCGTTCTATAAGCAGCTTCTGTCAAGTGTATACCATCCCAGCTTATATATGAGGAAGGATCATTACAAGCAGTTGATCCTGGTCTACCACAACTGGCTGTTATATTGAAATTGTAAGGCCCTCCGCCTCCGCAACATGCCTTGAGAGATTTCTTCTCAAATCCTGAAATTAATTAAATTCTTGTTTAACTTAAATAACATGAATATGATTGTTTTCTCAAAGATTGTTCATGATTAAATCTTTGTATGAGAACTTTAGTTAAAGTTAAGAACACGACGTTCTGAGTAACAAGAAATTAATTACCAAATTCGTTTGGGTTGCGGTAACATTGAAGCGTAGCATTGTAGTAGTCAGCATAAATAAGGTTGACATGAGGGTGAAGTTGACGAATTCGAGTTAATTCTTCTTGAAGCAACTGATTGTGGTACTCGGAAAACTTGTTAAGCCAGTTTAGACAACCAATTTCAGGATCATATTCTTCCGTATTGGAAGTCTGATAAATTGTTAAATATATCGGTATGCAACCTATCGGAAGGTTTCCTGGCACCATAAATGTTACTCCTCCTAACTCAATCAGTTCCTGCATATAATTTAGAATTTTATTGTCATTCCCTTGTAATGGTAAGATTTTAAAGTTATACTTTCACAAAAATTAATGTACAGTGAATTATTAGAAGAGTATGATAATGATTTAATTAAAAGAAACTTCAAAGTAAAAACTGTGCAGTGTTTGAAAGATTTATTATAAAAAATGTATATTATATTTGACTGTTTATATTCTTTAAAAATATTATTCAATATAAACCATTTATTAAAAACATTGCGTTTTTAAGTTCTTCCATTACCTGAATTACCGAACCAATTTTGCCGACAACCAGGGGAACAAGCTTTCTCACTAATTCAATATTTGTCTTTGCAAATAATGGATAATTGTAATCGTTTCCTCCGATTTCCCCCATAAGAATGAGAGAATTCTGAAGGAGTTTACTGCAATCTGCAAACTCAAATATGAAAAATTATTAGCCATGGGGTTTGAAATAATTCCGTTATTTATACACGCACATCACAAGAGCATTAATTTTGAAAATAATCACCTGAAGAAGAGGAACACAGAGATGGCAACAGCCGCTTGAACAAATTCAATTCAACTCCCAGTGAAAAGTTTGTAACAGGATTCTTGATCCCTTTGTCTAACAAAAACGAATAATCAAGCGCCGTAGCCCCGAACACCGCAAAATTAACACCGTCCTTAAAACTCTGATCCGTTCCATTTTCACCTCCAAAAAATGGCGGAACCAGAGGCAGCCCCAGATATTCAGCTGCTCCGCCCAAAACAAACATTTAAAATTCAACCGAATCTACAAAACCGTGTTGAAGAAACTGAGAAACTAATTCTTACCAATGAAATCTATGACCAGGCGACCATCAGAGGGTCGGCCAGTTGGATGATGAAAGAAGGTTTCTCCGTAGGGAGGTAATCCAAAAGAGGGAAGACCACCAGGTCGAGCGATGTTAAACAGGTTTCCGGTATCTGCTAGCGAATCGCCAAAGCTGAAGATTGATGAGTTACAATAGTGCTGTGCAGTTGAAATTTGTAAGGTGAGAGCTACTACGAGGACGAAGAGAATGTTACTGATTACAGAGAAAGGTGAAGGTAAAGCCATGGAGAAAAAGAAAATGGTTAATTAGATTTTAAAATCAGATTAATTTTCGAATTGAGAGATTAAAACTTAAAACAATTATTTATACATTATGATTGTTGTAACAAGAATTTATTTTTTTAAAAAACTAACTGTACATAACTTTTTTAGGGTTTAGTTTAAACAAAAAATTGGTTTGGCTTTCGAGATTATGCTGTGAAAATTCATAACTGATTTAATTAATCTGCTCAGAGGGATTAGTTTCTTGGTTGTTAAGATGTTTTTGTTTTTTTTGTTTTTCTGGCTTTCGATTAACGTTTTAATTTTCTAAATCCCGCATCGTAATCTTTGTGTTTGTTTCATTCGTGTTCCAAATTATAGATGAATTAACAGATTTCATAAACTGATATTTTTAAAATTTTGTTTCAATTCTTTTCTACAAAAATTCTGTTGGGATATTCTGTTTTATTAATAATATGTAAAATATTTTAATTTTAGAATTATTTTTAACTAAATTTTTTCTTTAAAAAATAATAAAAATTTATTTTTAAAAACATTGTTCGATTTTTGTGTTTAAAAAATCTCTTCAACTATCAACAACGAGTCATCTAACTTACACATAAGATAAACAAATCTCAAAAGAAATCAGTTTGTTTCTCAAGTTGTTTAGCACAAATTAATATGAAAGAAGCTTTTAATAATTTATTCTACTTTCTTGATTCACGGAGTGGTTGTCATCTTAAAAACTCAACATCATCGTTGATATGAAAGAAAGCCGAAACATTCATCAAAGGCACCTGATAGGAGTCGACAAGGAAAGCAACGTTGATTTCTTATTCAAGAATTCAAAAAAAACTGAACTATCATATTTCGAGTT